CCCCAAAACCCCAAAACCCCAAAACCCCAAAACCCCTGAATATGTTTCATATATAGAAATAATTAAAAATGGGTAATAGACAAAGTGCAAGGAGTATCCAGCCCTTCCTGTACAAATATGCTAACGAGTTGAGCTTTGTCGAGACTATGAATACAGCGCTGATTAGTACAGGTAGGTCTCTTTCCTCACAAAATAGTCGTGGTCGAGATAGATGAGCTCCCAATCGTCTGCAAGATGTACTTCGACTCCCCGAAGGTTATTGACGAAATTTTCCACTCAGTTAAAGAATACATTGAGAATATGAGAGAAATGTTTGACTCGAACTCTCACCCTAATCTGTTGCTCTATGATTCAGCACATTTGAGAAACAATTGTATCATGATGATGAGACAGTATATGTGCAACAATTTGAGAGATCGGATGATACAGAAGATACCAATAATTGAAAAGAAATGGATCGCTTTCCAGCTCATCTGTGCGGTCAGTCAACTTCATTCCAAGGCTGTTACTCATGGTGACCTCAAGCCTGAGAACATCTTATTGACGTCTTATGACTGGCTGTTTGTGACAGATTTTTTAACAGTCGAAAATGTTTATTGCGTCAGCCCGAAAGGAGATGAAAATCAGAGGTTTGTAAATTATAAGCCAACCTATGTAGAAGAAGAGTCATGGAACTTGTACAATGTCTTCTTCGGTGAACTTGATAACAATAAGATGTGATACATCGCACCTGAGAGATGCATCTCAGTAGATGAATACATTTCCAAGACCTCTGGAGACTATTCAGTGCAACCCTCAATGGATGTATTTTCTGTCGGATGCATCATTGCAGAGATATTTTTGGATGGAAAACCCTTATTTGATCTGGCAAGGCACCAGCTGTATCGGAAGAATCAATTTAATCCCAAAGACATCCTCAGATTTATTGGTGATGAGGAAATAGAGGCTTTGATTCTAGAGATGATTGCTCTAGATCCTCAGAATAGGAGCAGTATCGATATTTACAAGGATAAATGGTTGGAGAGCGTTTTCCCAAAATCATTCTCGTGCATTCTTTATCAACTAGGAGCTGTCATCTTAAGAGAGAACCTCCTCTTCCCAGATGAAAGGATCTCAATGATTAGAAAGTACATTGATGCAGCTTGGGTAGCCTGATTCGGGGAGGAAATTAGCCCTCAAGAGCTAGTAGTTCCCATGAATGCTGATATTTTTGAATATTTAAGGTTCGAGAACTTCCCAAACATTATTACAGATCTTTGTCCAGACTTCGACTGTATAATTAACCATAAGAATAATGGAGAAAGAAGTATCACACTGGTAGAAATTGAAGATGAGAAAAAGAAGCAGAACGCTAGTGATAGCGCTGTGGTGCTGGTCTACATGATTGGTACAATGATCCAATACTGCAGGTATCCAGATACAAAAGTCTTAGCCTTGGAGATGCTCACTAGTATTGGAAAGAAAATTCGAGAGGAATATCGTCTCCAATATATTGTACCATTTGCAGTATCTTGCTTGAAAGATGCTATGTGCAAAGTCAGAATTAGTGCAATTGATTGCATTATTGAAGTCTTGAAGGACTGAGAAATCATTGAGATCAAGTACACAGATTATTACGTATTTGATACTTATCTCCTTCCATTATTTAGCAGAATGCTTGATGACGAGAACCAGGCTGTACAACTCAAGTTGATAGAAATACTCCCGAATTTAGTAAACATTGGTAAAATGTTTATTGCCAGTGTCAATATGCATCAACAAAAGATCACAATGCTGGCTAATGACGATATTTTTGAGCTAGAAATAGGTGAAGACCAGAGAGAAGAAACTCTGTTCTCTCAATTTGATCCTGATGATGATACTTTCGAGAATAATTCATGTGAAGCGGAAGATCAATTCTCTCCATTAAGAGATTCTACTGTTCGATTTTCTCAAGGAGAAGGAGAAGATGATACAAATCATCAAGGAGATCAACCAGCAGAAGGTGAAGACCTTGATACATCTAAATTAGAGCTCCAAAGACAAATTGAAGAAGATATGAGAATGACTGAGATTGCAGAAACAGTTTTCGAAGAGACTAAAATTCCTGAAGCATGGAGCAGAACCAGATTTGTCACTGATGAACAAAAGACCAGGAGCATTCTCGGACTTGCTTATAATATACACTTGAATGAGACAGAGTATGATCTTGCTTATGACCAAGACCAAGAGAAAAATATTGAAGCTGAGATAGAGCAACTCAAAGAGAAGATTCTTGAAATTGTAGATAAAATTATAGTTGAGCAAGATCCAAAGAAAAACTGTGTGTTAATGTCAAATATTGAAGAAATCGCTGAATTTCTTGGTGAGCAAATCAATTCAGAGAGGCTTCTGGCATATATTCTTTCATTCCCAAATATTAAAGATGACATGCTAACAATATCGACTTTGAGAGGATTAAAAGTATTCTCTCACTATCTTCCTGAGTTGGAAGAGCTCAAGTATATCTTGACAAGTTGCGACAATTTATTCTATGATCCGAACGAAATCATAGTGCTTGAAGCTATAAAAACAGTCCATTATTTTGCTGTTAACCATCGCTCTGTTTTTGATTCTAATGATCAGTGTCTGAAAATCACGCAAAAATTGATTGAATTTGGAATGCATCCAAATGAACAGATCAAGCATTGGGCAATTGTGACATTTTGAGAAATCCTAAAGCACAAGTCAGTTGCATATATTTATTGAAACCTGTTCAAAAAGATTAAGCGTTACTTGATAATGCCAGATCTGAAGATGCTCTCAGATCCAAACTCAGTAAAGCTCTACATTCAGCCACAAGTTTCTAGATTTTGTTTTGATTTGGCTACAAACAGGTTTTATTTCACATCGAACAAAGAAGTGATCCTATCATTTCAGGATAAATCAGCTCTTTGTTTAATTCAGTCGATGATAGACTGCATTCCGAAATTTCTAAGCTCAAAGAGTCTCACTGACCAAGACCTCAGATATATCAACTACCAGATCACTAAGGCAAGATGGAAGGAAGATTTTGATATCTCTCCCGAGGAATGTGAGCAATATGTTGAGAAATACTACTACCCTATGAAATCCATTGATCTTGATATCAAGAGCAATGAGTCTAACTATGGAGTAAACCATCCTCAGAGAAAACCCAACAAATCAGCATATGACGTTCATCATCTTGAGTTTTATAATTCTGCGAAAGGGCTTGTGCTCGTAGACCAGCATCTCCTTACAGGGTCCTCTGGAGAGAGTATCATTAAGAGAAGTGCTGATTTAGGATCATCTGAAGATGAAGGAGTGATCAGTCAATGGCATCCGAAAGGAAGACTCATAGATACCATTTATCCTGTGAACTCTAATAATGACCTTCCTCATCCAATTACGACATTAGTGACATCTGATAACTCCGAGAATTTGATCTCTGGCTCTAAGGATGGGATGCTCCATTTCTTTAATCTTGGATATGACAGGACTGAAGTAAGCATAGAATGAGTTGAGTCAATGTTTATTACTGATCTGGAAAAGCCAAGACAGATTAATTCCATATCTGTGCTAAACTCAGACACTACCTTCTGAGTTGGTCTTGATGAGGGGTTACTAGACATTTACTCTCCTCATGGCTCTAAGAACTCGACTATTGCAATGATTCAAAGGATTGCATGAGCCGACAAAGGAAGTGTCTGAAAAACAGTTTCATTTTCTAAAGATTTTAGCAGAGAAAATGTCTTCGCTTATGCTACTCAGAAGGGAAATGTATACACTCATGATTTGAGAGTGAAGCTTGATGTCAACAATTATAATATTGGGCTGAAATTTGGAATTCCTACTTCAATGACAACTGCAAATATGAATGGCACTCATAAGATCGTGGTAGGGACTATGGGAGGATTCATCCATCTTTATGATGTCCGTTATAATGTCCCAATGGAAATCTATGAACACTCAAGAAATCACCCTATCTTTGATATGTGTATGCATTATCCTAGTTTATCATATAAATATAAGATGTTCACTGAGATAAATGAGACTCAAAATCCTCATTGATTGATTTCTTCTGGAGGATCTGTTGCTTCCTACAACCAAAGAAGTCAAAATGAGACTCCATATATGACTCATGAAGTGTCATTCTTAGATCTCTACCAAGGACAAATGAAAGCAGTCTTCTCAGTAGATGATACAACCAATGTTTGAGATGAGCCAATAGAAGTTTCCGAATTCATTAGTCATGATCCAATCGCTCTATCTAGAAAACCAGGTTCCATCAAGTTCAGAGATAGCATTTACAAATCTTTGACTGCCAATTATGTGACTAAAGTACTATGCCCAACATTACCTAGCATGGATAAGTCTGCTCCATACTTTATCTCAGCGGGAACTGATCGCAAGATCAGGTACTGGGCTATTTGAAAGGACAAAACTTCTAATTACTATAATATCAGTACTCCCATTGTGAATGAGAGTGAATATAAAGAAGTCTACCTTGGTGATGTGTATTGTGTACAAGAAAAGGTTACTGAAAGACCAGCAGAACCTGCAAATTTAGTCACAGGAGTTTCATATTCGAAGAAAAGCAGGGCTGTTATTGCAAATAAGAGCTCTTTACATCCAATAAATGCTATTAATGAGGCGATGTTCCCAGATTCTAACGGAATCAGTTCATGACAAAGATTTAATCCAAGTGAGTTTATAGAATACAAAGGATCTGAGGCTGCTACTCCAAATCAAGAGGGAACATCAAAGCTTGAACAAAGATATCCTGTGGAAAACTCAGCACACCAAGATGCCATTCTTGACATGACAATAGCAGAGAATCCTCAACTAGGAGCCTACCTCTTCACAGCTGGAAGAGATGGAGTGATAAAATGTTTCTCATAATTTTAGACTTTATTTTAATGGTGTTGATAAATTCAATAATATTTACAACCATGGGGTTTTGGGGTTTTGGGGTTTTGGGG